TACATAAAGCAAAAGCATCAGAAAAGGAATAAGCAAAGGTGAAATAAATAGGTGAAATAAATAGAAACTTTTTTTCTTATTCTTAATCTAATAGTTCAAAATATTAATAACAATGTATTTGATTCTATATACATACACACAAGCTTATATGTACTTGTATTAAACTAAAATGTATGAAAGTGATTTAAAGGATGGGAGGAGGAATTAGGATTATTTCATTTTAAGGTATTTGCACTACTCATGAAGTGGTAGAATGTATTTTGAAACTGAACTTGGATTGGTTGCAAATACTGCAAACTGTATTACAACCACTAAAAAAGAAGCATAACTGATATCCTCAGAACAGAGAGAAAATAGGATCATATAAATTGTTTAACTAAAACCGTAACAGAAAAGGAGCAGAAGAAAAAAATAGGAATAAAGAACAAGGACAATAAATGGAAAACAGTGGCAAATATGGTAGATATTAATCCAGAAATATCAATAGTCACTTGGAATATCAGTGGTCTAAGTACATCAGTTATAAAACAGAGATTGTGTCAGGCTGGATCAAAAAAATATCCAACTGTATGTTGTCTTTAAGAAGCCCACTTTAAATATAAAGACAGATATAGGTTAACTGAGTGAAAGAAGACGACATATCATGCTGACACCAATGAAAAGAAAGTGGGAGTAGCTATATTAATTTCAGAGTGGAATTCAGAGTAAGGAAAGTTTTTAGGAATAAAAAGAGCATCACATAATGATAAGAGAATCAGTTTTTCAAGAGGACGTAGCAAAACTTAACATGTAGGCATGTATCAGTGCGATATCAAAATGTGTGAGGCAAAAACTGATAGCACTGCAAGGAAAAATAGATGAATCTACCATTATAGGTGGAAACTGCAACACCCTGTTTTAGAAATGAACAAATCCAGGAGCCATAAAATCAGTAAGGTCGTAGATGAGTTCAACAACATCATCAACCACATGGATGTGGTATCTATAGACTACTTCATGTAACAGTAGAATGAGCCTTCTTTTCAAGCTCACGTGGAACATCCACCAAAGTAGACCACGCATTCTGGTCCATAAACCAAACCTTAACAAATCCTTAAGAAATTTAAGAGAATAGAAATCATGCAGTGGCTGCTCTCAGACCACAGTGGAATTAAACTAGATGTCAACACCAGAAATATAGCTGGAAAAATTCCAAAGTATTTCTAACTAACACATGAGTCAAAGAAAATATCTTGAGAAATTTTTAAATATTTTGATCTAAATAGAAATGAAAACAAATTTAACTTACTAAAATTTGTGGGATATAGGGACAGCCGTGTTTAGGGGCAGTTTATAGCATTGAATGCATATACAAGGAAGAAAAAGATCTAAAATTAATCATCTTAGCTTTCACTTTAGATACTAGAAAGAGAAGAGCAAATTAAACCTGAAGTTAACAGAAGAAGAAAAATAATAAAAATTAGAGCTTAAACTGATTAAATTGAAAACAGGAAACCAATGGGGGGAAAAATGAAATCAAAGCTTATTCTTTGAAAAGATAGTAAAATAGGTAAGTCTTTTTTCAGGCTAATTAAGAAAAAGATCCCTTTCATCTATTTTTGAGAGTAATTATATCAACAGCCTTTTAGCATTAAACTGTTCTTACATTTGGGAATCAGTTGCTGGTATAATAGAATTTCAATACAGCAATGGATTAGAATTATTAACATTTTAATAGCAAGTTCTGTTGTTAAATTTATACTGGGATAAGTCTGTCATTTTATTTTTTGTATGCTCTTTTGGTTGGTTTTTGTTTCAGGGTTATGTTAACTTTATAGAAAGGAATATTTCCTTTTTCTTTGTGCTCATGGAAATAAACTTTTGAAATCTGAAGGAATTCTTCTATAATACGTTCTTTGTTATACTATAGCTTTATTAATGCTTTATTTTATTTTTCACCCATTTTGAGGTAGTTTGGTTCATTTTCATTTTTCCAGTAAAAATGTCTTTCAGTCAGATTTTTCAAATTTTAAGCATAGTGAGTACTTTATATAAATTTAATAACTTCCCTGGATACCTGAAAAGAAGCGGATTACCTGTCAATATTAGTTTATATTATTTCATATATTTGCATTTCTCTTGACGCTATAATTTCTCGTTAAAGTTTTCTGTAGTAAATCTTTTTGCACAGAATAGGCTTAATTGTTTTGCGTGCTGTAATTTCTGCTATATTTTTTAAACTCTTCTTATAAAATAAAATATGGATAAAACCAAATATAAAGAAAAAAGAAGACACTGCTCATATTGGAAATCAAAAGGTGACATCCCTACACATCCCATGTACATCAAAAGGTTAATAAAGGAATACTGTGAATAACTTTATGCACACAGATTTGATAACCTAGATGAAATGGACCAGTTCCTTGAAAGACACAAGCTGCCAAAGCTGACACAGAAGAAATAGTCTGAAAGGATTCTGTCTATTAAAGAAATTGGATCAATAATTAATAACCTTACAGAAAAGCACCAGGCCCAGATATGTTCACTGGTGAATTCTATAAAACATGTGGAAGAAGTCATACTAATTTTCTGCAATCTCTTTCAGAAGACAGAAGCAGAGGGAATATTTACTAAGTTATTCTATGACACCAGCATTACACTCATACTAAAACTAGATGAAGACATTATATGAAAAAACAGCTGCAGACCAACATGCCTTATAGACATAGATGAGAAAATCCTCAACAAAATATTAATAAATTGACTCTAACGATGTGTAATAAGAATTACACACGATGCCCTAGTGGGATTTTTCTCCCATGTATGCACGCCTGGTTCAAACTTTCAAAAAATCAATGAATAAAATGTATCACACCAATAGACTAAAAAATAAAAATCACATGATCATCTCAATACAGGCAAAGAAACCATCTGACAGTATCCAATATCTATTTAAGACAAAAACGGTCAGTAAATTCTAAACCTGGTAAAGAATATTTAACAGAAAATGAGCTAACATCATACTTGTGAGAAACTTGATTCTTTCCCACTAAAATCAAGAGCATGGTTGAAAATATACCTTTCACCGTTACCTTTCAACATTGTATTGGATGTCCTAGCTAATGTAGTAAGACAAGACAAAATAAGAGGTATGCAGATTGTGAAGGAAGATGTAAAACTGTTCAGGAATGGCATGATCACCCGTACAGATAATCAAAAAAAGTTGATGAAACAACTGAAACTAATAAGCCATTATAGGGAGGTTGCAGGATAGAAGGTTAATACACAGAAGCCAGTCACTTTCCTGTATAACATCCACGAAAAAGTGGAATTTGACATTAAAAACTCTTAATGTTAGCACCCATAGAAATGAAATAGTTAGGTATAAATAAAGTGTGCAAAAGAGCTATGTGGGGAAAACTATAAAACTCTGATAAAAGAAGTCAAGGAAGAACTAAATAAATGGAGATAGTCCGTGTTTGTGGGTAAGAAGATTCAGTATCAAGATTCAGTTCTTCTTATCTTTACCTGTAGATTTAATGCATTCCTAATCAAAACCCCAGCATCTCCTTTTGTGGATGTCATCAAGTTAGACCTAAGGTTTATACAGAGAGATGAAAGGCCTAGAATAGCCAATACCATACTAATGGAAAAGAATACAGTTGTAAGACTGACACTACCTGACTTCAAGATTTACCACAAACCTGCAATAATCAAGACCATGTGGTACTGGCAAATGAATATACAGACAAGTCATTTTTAACAAAGGAATGGAGGCAATATAATGGAATAAAGATTGTCTTTTCAAGTGGTGCTGTACAACTAGACATCCAAATAAATTGAATGAATGAATGAATCTAAACGTAGAACTTACACCCTTTATTAAAATTAACTCAAATGGATCACAGACCTAAATGTAAAATATGAAACTACAACATTCCCAGAAGATAATACAGAAGACTGAGATTACCTAGGACAGTGACTTCTTACCTACAGCACCAAAGGTACAATTGATGAAATAAAGAATTGATACATTAGACTCCATTGAAATTAAGTATTTCTGCTCTGGAAAAGACACTGTGAAGAGAATGAAAAGATGAGGCACAGACTGAAAAACTACAGACTTATCTAATAAAAGACTGTTATGCAAAATATACTAAGAGCTTTTAAAACTCAATAATTAGAAAACAAACGATCCCAGGGTTGCAAGACCAACTCACGCAGTAGGAAGTTGTGTTCTATATGCCAGCATTGGATAATCCACAGAGGAAATTGTGAAAGCAGTTTGTTAAAATAGTAGCTAAAAGAATAGAGCTCCTTGGAATAAAGGTCTAAAGGCATAATCTCTGTCTGTCTGTTTCTGCTCACCCTTTAGCCACTGTCTGGAGAATGCTTTGGACTTTGCATTTTCCTTGCACCTTATTACTGAGAATATATTTCATCCTAATTTCTAAAAAAGTTGGCTTTCAGCTAAATTTCTTGTCCCTAATGCCCTACCTAAATGCCAAGAAACCTATCATTTTTTCTAGTGGATGTGAAGATGTTTGATTAGACCTTCGTCTTTCTCACTGGACCATTGGAGAAGCTTTTTGTACATTCTAGCTCTGTCATTCCCTACCCCACTAAATCTTCTAAAGACACAAACATACTTAAAATTCTTTATTGGTTCCACATCAGAAATAGGATCCAGTTAGATTTTTCTCTCACTCCATACACCAACAATAATTCTGTATACATTAGAAATATAAATATAAACAAATAATTATATAACTATGAGCAGAAACTACAGATATATAATCTGCTATAAAACACAACACAATAAGGGAATACATACTGAGAAAACTATTTGGAACATATTGCCAAAAAAAGGTGAATAGCTTTAATAAAAAAAGTTTTATTTGTGTGATAATATACAAAAATAATATTGAACTATAAGAAGCGGTTCTTTATTTATAGAAAGAAGTTATTTGATATTTTATTATTCTTATAGATGAATCAATTTTTTGTTATTACTTCTATAGCAAAAACAAATTAGTTACTCACCAGGACTGTGCAGCATAGAACATCAGCAAGAGATAACCAAACTAAAGACTGATTTAGAAAAGAAAAGTATCTTTTATGAAGAAGAATTGTCTAAAAGAGAAGGAATACATGCAAATGAAATTAAAAATCTGAAGAAGGAGCTTCATGATTCAGAAGGCCAGCAACTTGCCCTCAACAAGGAAATTATGATTTTGAAAGACAAATTGGAAAAAAACAGGAGAGAGAGGTAAGAATCAACTTATTTACTCCTCTAATAAATATTTCCTGGATGCCTGTTGTGCCTGTGTGTCAAGGGCTGGAGATACACGAGCAGTCCACTTACTGCAGTCCTAAGGAGCCCAAAGCCAAGATCAGTAAATAGGAGATTATACTACATCATGACAGGCAGCAAATGGGACAGTATAAGTACAGGCAAAATGCAGAAGCTCCCATAGATGACACACAAAAGGTGACTTTGGTATGTCTGGGTTTTTTGGACAAAACCAAAGAAACAAGAAATTAACGGTGGAAGAGTGTCCAGACGGGGGTAGCGGAATGTGCTGGGATGGAGAGGAAAAGCGGGGAGCATGGCACGTTCAGAATACTAAGGCTATTCCCTGTGGTGGAGCCACAGAAAGATGAGAGGGTGAGAAGTGGGTCTGCAGAGGGTAGTAGACTTAAGATCATGAAGCAGAGCAGGGAGTTTAGACATCATCCTAAGGCCATTGAAGGCAGGTCACAGGGTGGTACTTCTGGTTTTGAAAGATCACTCTTGTTCCTGTGTGGAGCAGGACTGAGGGGAGCAGACGGCAGGTGGGAACCTGGCTTCGAGGGATGATCAGGACCGTAGGTGCTGACTGTGAAGGTGGAGGGAAGCGTGTGGGCTCAGAGGATCCCAGAGAGCCAGAACCTGGGTGCCATGATGGCCAGATGGGAGAAATTGCTAGTGATGCTCCTGTTTCTGGATTTTAGCTGAATATATGCTTTTGTTATTCTCAACTTATATTGGAAGCCAAAATTTATTTAGTTTGGTCCATTCATTCAACAAAAAAATTTTTAGGGCCTTTGGTGGATAAAGCAACTATTCTGTTACAGGCCCTGGGAATGTAGCGGTGGACAGACAAAATCTCTGTCCTTACAGAGCTTTCCTTTATTTAGGTGAAAGACTACAAACAAAATAAGTAAAAAATATGGAATATATTAGGTAATGATAAATGCCAGAACAAAAAATACAGCACAGGATGGGGCCGTGAAGCATTGAGGGGGCAATTAAGTGTCTGTATAGACTGGTCTGGGGAAAGAATGCTGAGAAGGTAATTGAAGTAAGGGCTGAAGAATGTAGGGAGGCATCTCTACAGATGGAGGAGAAGAATGCTCTATACAGAGCACAGGCTGTTAAAAAAATAACAAGAAGGCAAAACTATGGAGACAGGATAAAGAGCAGTGGTTGCCAGGGCTTGGGAGAAGGCAGAGGTGTCTGGGAGGATGTCCAGGGCAGCGCAGCCCCTCCGCATGATGCTGTGATGGGTGCGTGTGTTTTGAACACGTGTCCCAACCCAGGCGATGCGTCCACTGCAAGGTCACTGATGGAACCCATGCTCCACTCTGCTGGGGGTGGTGTGGTGGGGAGGTTGTACCCATGTTTGGGGGGCTGGGGGGTATGTGGAAAATCTCTATGAACCTAAAACTTTTCTTAAAAATAGGTCTATTAAAAATAATAATAAGGAGGCCAATATGGCCAAGGTAGACTTAAGGGGAAAGAAGAGTAGGAGATGAGTACAAGAGGGAGCCAGACCAGATTGGGCAAGGCTTTGTGACGGGTGACTTCTGGTTATTCGTTCGGGAGAAAACCATTGCAGGGACGTACTGCAGGATTATGAGTGGAAAACTGACAAATACTGGGTTGTGTTCTAACATGGTTACTCTGACTACTGGGTTAAGACCAGGCTGACTTAGATAAGAGAAAAGCCTGGAAATGATTTAGAAGTAGTCCAGGCCCAAAAGAATGGTGTGTTGGCTTAGGGTGGAGGCAGCAGTGGTAGTAAGAAGAGTTGGGATTCTGATACTCCTTATAAGTAAAGACACTGGTTTCTGCTGTGGACTAGATACGGAGTGAGAAAGGAAGAGGAGGAATTAAGGATGATACTGAGGTTTGGGGTCTTAGCAGTCAGGGGACTATAGTTACCATTTAGAGAGAAACAGTTATGTTTGAGATGCCTATTAGACACCCACGTTAAGATGTCAGGTAGACCATTGGATAGATCAGCCTGGATTTTAGGGCTAGAGAAAAAATCCTGGGAGTATTTTATCACTCACATGGTATTTAAAACAGACTCTATGAGATTACTTAGTGATTGGTAGATAGAAAAGAGGCCCAGCACTGAGCCCTGGGGTGCTCCAGTCTTTAGGAGTTTGGAAATGAGGAAGAAATGGCCAAGTGGACAGCTGAGAATGATAGGAAGAAGACCGGACTGATTTGGTTTCCTGGAAGCCACGTGATGAAAGCATATCAAATCCATCTACATGTTACATGAGATGAGGTCTGAATCAAGTACGATGAGGTGTCTGGGCAGTGAAAGTTGAATTTAACAATATGATGCTCACTGGTAACTTTGATAAAAACAATTTCAGTGGAACAAGAGGGGCAAAAGCCCCACAGTGGGATCCAAGACTTGAAGGAAAGCAGTTGGAAAACAGAATAGTAGTTGGAATCTCTTAAAAGCAAGCAGTACGAGGAAGCAGTAGTTGGAGGAGAAACTGATCTCCAAAGAAGTTTTTTTTGCCTTTTGTTTCTGTTTTTAGATGGGAGAAATAACACCATGTTTTAATTTGGTAGGAATTATCCAACATGGGGAGAAAAGTGCAGAAACCATGTACTCGAACAGGTGTATAAGTGGAGGGTTTGGGCTGAGCTGTGCTTTTCACCTAGAGAAGGTGAAGAGATAGTAGAGTGTATGAGGAAGGTAAATAGGATGGTAGGAACTTGTGTGGCACTCTCCTGAGTTGGGCGTGTTGAATTTGGTGCTCTGTGAGACGTCTTCGTGGAGATACCAAGTCAGCAGTTGAAGGGAGCCCAGAAAAGCTTCAGATTAAATTCGGCATTCATCAGCATACCAGGTAATTGGACTCAGGTGGTACAGTGGGTGAACCAGCTCAGGGGAGGTGTGCAGAGAGAAGTCAAGCTCTGGAACGGAATACCTGGGAGGATGGTCATTTACCAGAAGGACGGAAAGAGCGGGGTCCACAAGGGCAGAGATGGAGGCTGGAAACCAGGCGTGGCATCACTGAAGCCAGGAGAAGATAGCATTTCAAGAGGGAGGAAACGGGCGACGGTGTCAAAGGTGGCAGGTAGATTGAATACGATAATGAGACCATGGCCGGTTGTGAGAACAGGTTTTTGGGGTGGTGGCACGCAGAAGCCAGATTTTGTATGGTAAGGAACAGTTAGACAATGAGAAAGTGGGTACAGCACACCCTGTCAAGGCTTCCAGGTGGTTCCCAGTGAACAGGAAGGCAGGGAATTGGCAAATGAAGCATAACATAGGGTTCAGGGAAGAATGTGTTTGTCTTGTTTTCATATGGAAGAGATGTCAGCTTTGTTTAATGCTAGTAGGAAAAAATAGGAAGAGTTTTACTTAGAAATTTTACTCAGTTCATCTGTGTACATATTTTTCTGAAAGGCTTCTTTGTAATTTCTCAAGTTTTTGTCTTGTTTGTTATTTGGAGTTGCTTCTGAATCAAGAAAGATGATTTTAAAAAATTTTATTTACATTCAATTTAGTTAACATAGAGTGTATCATTGGTTTCAGGGATAGTGTTCAGTGATTCCTGAGTTGTATGTAACACCCAGTGCTCATTACATCATATGCCCTCCTTCGTGTCCATCACCGACTTATCCTGTCCCCCCAACCCACCCCTCCTGCAACCCTCAGTCTCTCTCCTAGAGTTAAGAGTCTCTTATGTTATTCTATTTTCATCTTATTTTTTCTTCCATTCCCCTATGATCCTGTTGTATTTTTCAAATTCCATGTGTGAGTGGAATCATGTGCTTCCTCTGTCTGACTTACTTTGCTTAGCATAATACATTCCAGTTCCATCCACATCCTTGCAAATGACAAGAGTTCATTTCTTTTTGATGACTAATATTCCTGTGTGTATGTGTGTGTGTGTACACATCTTCTTTATCCATTCATCTATTAGTGGACATCAGGGCTCTTTCCGTATTATGGCCATTGTGGACATTGTTGCTATAAACATTGGGATGCAAACATAACTGAACTTTGACTATAGATAATTTTTTTTAAGTGGCCTATTTGCCTGTACACACAGGATGGTTTATTTTCCCAGAATATATAATTTAAAATGTAATTTCATTTATAATATAGTGATGTAAGAGATTTTTAAGATTACATTTTTTAAATCAGCCATTACTTAAGTTCTTTGTTGACTTGGAATTAATCATATGAAATTTCCCAGACCAGATCCATACTGAAGTTCATTTACTGCTAAGATATAAGCCTCTTTAAATTTTTTTTAATTGAATACAAGGTGACACACAGTGTTACCTTAGTTTCAGTTGTACAGCATGGCGATTGACCTTCTCTCCAGGTTACGCTGTGCTCACCAGTGTAGCGGCCATCTGTCACTGTACGACACCATTACAGTATCATTGACTAGATTCCCTAAGCTGTGCCTTTTCTTTCTGTGTCTTATTCATCCCATAACTGGAAGCCTGCCCCTCCTGCTCTGCTTCACCCATTTTGCCCATCCTCCAATCCCCTTTCCTTCTGGCAACCATCAGTTCCCTTTGTCTAATTCTCCTTTTCATTTGTTTGTTCATTTGTTTTGATTTTTAGATTCTACATGTGTGAAATCATACAGTATTTGTCTTTCTAGGTCAGGCTTCTTTCACTTAGCTTAATACCCTTTAGGCCCATGCATGTTACCACAAATGGCAAGATCTCATCCCTTTTTATGGCTGTGTAATAGTCCATTTGTGTATGTATATACCACATCTTCCTTATCCATTTGCCTATTGATGGACACTTAGGTTGCTTCCCTATCTTTGCTTTGTAAATAATGCAGCAATAAACATAAGGGTGCATATAATCTTTTCATATTAGTGTTTTGTTTTCCTCAGGTAAATACCCAATAGTGGAATTACTGAATCATACAGTATTTCTATTTTTAATTTTTTGAGGCACCCTCACACTGTTTTCCACCATGGCTTCGATGGTTTGCATTCCC